CAGCTTTTATGCCTAAAACATCACGAGCTCTTTTAAATCAAGAGTGATATCGTTGGAGGGGTCTCTTTCCCCCCCACAGATCAGAAGAGGAAGCATCTTTTCATCTTCTCTGCCCGGTGCGGGCGTTGACGTGTTACATAACGCGCACAGCTGCAATGCGTTTCAAACTCAACAATTGTTTGTGCATTATAGAGATGCTTCTGCAGGTCGCCCGTTATCCATCCAGCGCTTGTCACACTGGCTCTGTGAGGCCTTTTCTGAAGCCTACAGAGCATCAGATTTAGGGCCTCCTGTCAACCTCTAAGCACACTCGACCAGGGGTATCGCATCTTGGACTGCTCTGCATAATGGTATGTCAATGCAGGACATCTGCACTGCGGCTGCATGGTCAACACCCTGCTCATTTATTCGCTTTTACCTACGTGATGTAACGGCTCGTTCCATGACACATTCTGTCCTTAGTGCTCTAACAGAATGAATATTATTGTTCTCATGGAACTCTGTTTAAGCTCACTTCTGTCTGCATGCATTACAGTGTGAGATGTTGTTATTAGTCACAAGTCGTGTCTGTGATTTTGGTTCTATTGTCACTAATCAGTTCATGATTATTGTTACCAATCAGTTCATTTGATCAATAATCAATTCATGGGCATTAATCTGTTTATACTGTTCAGCCATGAACCAGTTGGTTCATGCCCCCCCCCCCCCCTTTCAACTTCTTCTTCCCGTTGAAAGTTTTCCGGGGTATTCATGCTTTGTCAGAACGCATAGCTACACAACATGCGTCTGTGCATGGCACATAATTACGCGATGCGTAGTTATGCACACGGGGAGCTGAGTGACAAGACGTTTTTTGGGCAAGCTTCCGCTTCTTACTGTGTTCGAATGGACCCAGTGAGGCGAGGACCACATCCGCTTCGCCCTTAACCCATCAGCGACAGCCTTAAAGGGCGAAGCCTATATGACATAGAACGTTGGTTACGTACTGTAACCCCAGATTCTATGAATATAGGCGTAGCCCTTTAAGCGTCGGGCCTCACTGGCTCCTAAATGGCTGAAGAAAAAAGCTATTTTGGGAGCCGATTTCCCGCTCTTAACGTAATTTATACGGACCGGGTGGGGCCCACACAGCAGGTGGGCGTGGACTAAATTTTTTCAGTGCTTATGCTCTGCATAACGGGATAAACCATCAGCGACAGCCTTAAAGGGCTACGCCTATATTCATAGAATCTGGGGTTACAGTACGTAACCAACGATTCTTAAAGCCACTTAGAGAGGTCAAGGTGGAGAGCTTCAAATGTTTTTGTAAGATATTCCAGGAAACAGGAGCGGAGTAGGAGAAGGCCCTCTTGACTAGTTTAGTCCTCACTGAGGGAACACTGCAGGTAATAATGTCCTGAGAGCGCACGCCGTAGCTGCACTCACGCAGATACAAGTAGGAGGAGATGTATAAAGGCAGCAGACCAAGAAGTGATTTAAAGATGAATGTAGCGCCTTTCTATCTTATTTCAAGATACTCAAAGCGCTTTACACTACAATCTGTGCTTCATTTACCCATTCATACTGAACTCTACTAGATCTCTACAAAGCTAATTGAACATATCATTCTAATGAGACTAATCAGAGCTTTATCACATTCATACACTGATGGGAGACACATCAGAGGCAACGAGGGGTTCAATGTCTTGCTCAGGAACACTTCGACATGTGACTGCTGGTGGATTCGAACCCCCAACTCTCTCATTGGAGGACGACTGCTCTAACCACTCAGCCACAACCGCCCCCTACTATTACTTTTACTATTACTACTATTATTATCACTATTACCTGAACCTTCACAGTCTAGCCAAAGTCACTAACCCACATATCTTTACAGACTGGACCTGGGCCCAGAACCACACATCCAGCAGCGATTTATTAATAAATCATTTTAATCATTACTGTCTTGATGGGTTTTTTGTTTGTTTGTTTTTTATTGTTTTTTTGTTTTTTTTCTTCTTTCGACTGCTCCCTATTTTTTAGGGGTCGCCACAGCAAACTAAGTCACAAGAAGATTTGGCCGTTATTTTTTATGCCGGATGCCCTTCCTGACACAACCACAGACCACCGAGTTACCACAGCCCTCTGTGTGGAGCAGAGAGCTTCTATCTAGGACACCCGGAGGAGCAGATGGTGGGGGCTAAGGGCCTTGCTCAAGGGCCCAGAGTGGGACGAATGAGGGTGGGGGCAGGTGTGGGTGCTTCACCTAACCACCCACATTATTGATGTTGTTGGTATACCGGGGCTTGAAATGACAAACTTCCGATCACAGGCCCACCTTCTCTAACCTCTGCGCCACCACTCCCCTATCCCTATTAATAAATCATTTTAACCTTTCCTGTCTTGGTGTGTCGTGCACAAATCCAAAACCCCAGTCTTGTCAAGGTGTGCTACAGTTATGTACACATTTGATGGACTGTACCTGTTTGATATTTATTAAAATGTATTACTGTTATTTACAGTCTTGGGTAAAATTTTGATTTTTGAAATGTGTAACTTTTGTACGTTTGAATGTCTCAGCTAAGGCAAATAGCAAAGCTTAAGTCCGTTCTGTCCAGATCCGACCTTGAAAAACTAGTCCATGCATTTATTACAACCCGGCTGGACTACTGTAACTCGCTTTATGTTGGGGTTAGTCAGGCTTCACTTTCACTGTCTCCAGCTCGTCCAAAATGCTGCAGCTCGGCTACTAACAGGAACTCACAGGTTTGAGCACATTACTCCGGTTCTGTCCTCTCTTCACTGACTTCCTGTGCGTGTCAGAGTTGATTTTAAGATTCTTCTGCTGACATTTAAGTGTGTTAATAGGCTTGCACCATCATACCTCTCTGACCTCCTTCATCCTTATACTCCTTCTCGGACCTTGAGATCATCAAACCAGCTGCTTTTGGCCGTACCAAAAACCAGGCTGAAGCTCAGAGGAGATCGAGCATTTTCAGTCATGGGCCCTAAACTTTGGAACAATCCGCCTATCAACATTCGACAGGCCACCTCAGTCTCTGCTTTTAAATCTCTTCTAAAAACACATCTATACTCATTGACATTCAACACAGCGTGATCGGATTTAGATCTAGTTTTTCATTGATGCTGATTCTGTTTATACTTTTGTTGTTATTTCCTTGACTTTTGACACAACGTGATCTGATTTAGTATTTCATTGTTTCTAATTATTGTTTTGGTTTTATATTTTTATTCCATGTGCTGTAAATATATCTTGCTACTTTTTATTTGATGATGTGATATTTTTGTTAAGCACTTTGGTAACCGTTTCTGTTTTAAATGTGCTCTATAAATAAATCTGACATGACTTGACTTGAAAGGTTAAAGACAAACGTATGCCATGTTAAGGGCTGTTGTCAGGGCTGTACGTGTTTTGTCAAGCGGGTACTCTCTGTCCTGAGCTGCTGCACTTCCCTTTGCAGGTTCTCCTTCCTCTCTGTGAAAGAGAGGAGCGATGGGCTCTGCATTTGATGAGGAAAACATGATGTAGGAGCCACTTATATTTTTCTGTGTTTATCTCCACTAGGTGTATTTCATTTTATGTACTGAGTATGTCAGAAGAGGAAGGTGGTTTCTTAAGGGCAGGTGTGATTCTGTTCAGGTGTTGCTAATGAGAAGGGGCAAACAGTTTTCTACTGTGCTTAGTTTAGGGTCAAGGCAGATTTATTTGTTTTCTAAATAGAAATGTAAATGGATATTGTGAGGGAAATAAATGACTTTGATTTATAAGTCAAAATGAAGATCTGCATAGTGAATCTTGATTCAGCGCACGTAAAACTAAAGCCTACCAGGAACAACGGCAACCAGTAGCCTAAAATATAGGATTTTAGCTGCTACACATGAAAAATCATGAGAAGGAAAATCATGAAGCTTGAAACAACTACTGTCTGCAAATCAGTTCTAATTGTTGTAAAGAGCCGTTCAAATGATCTGGATCATTTGTGAACATCACATCTCAATGTTTTCACCACAAAATTCAGTTCAGTGGGTCTGATTTTCATGATTGTCAGTAAAATGTTTGAAAAACTAATCTGTGTTGTCGGTATTAATTAAAACATATTTAAGGTGTTTGTCTTTTATTTATATAGTATCGTTTCTGAAGAGCATTTTACTGTTAAAAGTTTCATTCGACCTGATCATGATAAGAAATGTTTTAGTCTAATTATTAAAATGAATATAGCCTATCTACAATTTTTAGAAATGTCAAAGTACCACAAATGTCAGAAATCAACATTGCATACTAGCTTACACCTACACAACATAAAGGAGCACAGCTAAATGTAATTTTATCTTTTTTTAAAATGTTATGTATGAAAAGCAAGTTAACATTTATTTGATTATTTTTAAACATCTGATCTTTGATCAGCAAACAGCACACTTTTGTTGAATCACATACTAGTGAAGTTATGGCAAATATTAGTTTTAATGTAATATTTGGTAAAAACCTGATGTCTCTTCCGGATCCATCAATAAACTGCCTTGTTCACCTTCATCATCAGTGTGTTTACTGCCCTGAACATCTCCCCTCTTAACATGTCAACAAAAGACACCACTGCAAGAATTTGACTTTTATTCTGTCTGTCAGCGTCTCTGCTAACAGGAATACCATGAACAAATCAGATACAAAACATTTTTATATGTTTTTAGAGACTAAATGTGAAGAAAACTCGCTGCTTCCTCCACAAATCCACTCAGTATTCGAGAGGTTTGGAGCCTCCTTGAACACAGAGAAAGAGTCCTGGAAGACAAACTCACGCTCAATCTGGACATGAGAGAGTTTTCTTTCTGTTCCAGATGAATTTTGTTTGATTCAGTCTGATTTAGTGAGGGATTTTTATCTAAAACGTGTCGCAGAAAACACAAGTGAAGCCCTGATCGAGACGGAGGCTGAGCGGCAGTGTGAGTTGCCTCTTTACGGTTCTCACATGTGTTATAAGTCCCGCCTCCCGCTCCGAGGTCCAGACGTTCAGAGGAACAGCGAGAGGACAAACAGCGACATGGCAGAAGAAGCTCCAGCTGCTGCGCCGGCCAAAGCCCCGGCCAAAGCTCCCAGGAAGAAGCCCGCTCCGAAAGCAAAGAAGGAAGGACCCAACATCCAGAAGCTCATCGTGTCCGCCGTGGCAGACTGCAAGGAGCGGAAAGGAGTGTCTCTGGCTGCGCTCAAGAAGGTGCTGGCCGGGAAAGGAGTGGATGTGAGCAAGGCTAACAAACGCATCAACACCGCCGTCACCAAGCTGGTCACCCAGGGCACCCTGAGCCAGACCAAAGGCACCGGTGCCTCTGGATCCTTCAAGCTCGCTAAGAAGGAGCCTGCAGCCGCCAAACCAGCTAAGAAGGTGGTGAAGAAGGCTCCTGCCAAAGCCAAGAAGCCCGCTGCCAAGAAGACCACGGCAGCCAAGAAACCTGCTGCTAAGAAGCCAAAGGCAGTGAAGAAGTCCCCCAAGAAGACACCGGTCAAGAAGGCAGTAAAGAAGGTGACCAAGAGCCCCAAGAAGGTCGCTCCTAAGAAGCCAAAGGCTGCAAAGAAGCCTGCAGTCAAGAAAACTGGTGCCAAAAAACCTGCTGCAAAGAAGGCCAAGAAGTAAACGTCTTCATCAGCCCTTCATCCTGCACTCAGTGCAACAAAGGCTCTTTTCAGAGCCAACACACTCCACTGGAGAGCTGCACTCCCTGATGTTTCATCAAGATGAACATTAATGTTTACTCAGGTGGGACTGATCTAACAAAAATGTCAGAACACCATCAAACCACAGTTTACTTAATAAAATTAACAGTCCAATTTATAAATACAAATTCATTAATTTAGCTGCATAGCAAAATCATTAAATACCTTTTATAAAATAACACCATTGGCCAAAGTGCTACACCAACACATACAAGCATGAAAACGTTGGTTACGTACTGTAACCCCAGATTCTATGAATATAGGCGTAGC